GTAGCACAGGCTGACCTTGAACTCACATCAGTCTTCATGCCTCAGCCTCCCATGTGCTGGAATTAAAGATGTGAGCCACCGCGCCGGGGCACTCTGTTGTTTATTTTGCCAAAAGCTTTTTAACTTGATACAGTCACATTTTTTGATTCTCTTTATTTCCTGTGCTTTTGGAGCCCTATTTAGGAAGTCAGAAGTCTTTGCTTGGGCCTATGGCTTTCAGTGTTTTCCCCATTTCCAGCAGTTTCAATATTTCTGGTTTGAGACAGAGTCTTACTAAGTTAGCCAGGCTGTCCTTGAACTTGTGATCTTCCTGCCTCAGCCTCTTGAGAGCTGGGATTACAGGTATGAGCCACTATACCCTATTGAAAATGATTTCTGTATATGAAATACAGACACAATATATAGTAAAATACTGTTTTTGAAAAATTGCCTTGCTCATTTTCCAAAGGAAAGGATTTTGTTATAATGGGGAAATTCCAAGTAAGGAAGGAGGTTGGAAGATAATATAATTTTTATTCTACTGTTAGAAATTTTGGCTATGTCCTTTCCAAAGTGCATCATTAGATTTTTATTATTTAATTGGATCACTTAATTCTTTTCCACTTTTAGAACTGCTGTATTGTATGTACACTTAGAGCAGTACGTAAAGGGTAATATTTACTAGTAGATATTTAGAAATATGAGATAGGATTAGAGATGATGTGGTATGATTAAAGCTCCAAATTTGAAAGCTATCAGCCTCAAGGAAAATCTAGGAAAAGTACAGTGTAGTGAAGCCAGGGAAGAAAACTTTAAGTACAAACGGCCATAGTGTCAAATTGTTGAGATAAACAGAAGCCAAAGGATTATGGCTTGAAATATTATAATCCGTGGCATGCTGATAAATGCCTAACAATTGGCAGGAAATAAAAGGTTTAGCTTTTGCAAATTTCTGTAATATAAATATTTCCATCATGGGTAACATCAAGCTACCAATATAATTTTTTTTTTTTTTTGTACCAGAGATCGAACTTGGGACCTTGCACTTGCAAGGCAGGTGGTGGAACCACTGAGCTAAATCCCCAGCGATATAATGTTACTAAATGTGGGGTAGAAATGTTTATAATCAGTACTCTACTACTATATTTAAGAAATTCATATAATTCAACAAAGAGAAAATGTAATTGAAAAATGGCTGAACATGTGAACAGGCAATTCACAGAAATAGCCAATAAACCTATGTTAAGATTTTCATACTCATTAGTAAATATGGACATACAGAGTAAAAGAACAACAGTAACAGCAACCACCCCCAATTCATTTATATCTATTAGAAAGTAAAAATGTTAAATATCTGATAATACCAAATTAGGTGAAGACATGGGGAAATATTGATAGGAGTATAATTTTTTTTCCTTTTTTCATTTTCCTCTGCAAATGGAACCCAGGGCCTTATGCAAAGTTAGGTATGCGTTCTATCAGTGAGCTATATATCCCTAGACTGGAGTGTAAATTAGTATGACCATTCTAGAGAGCACACTAGCAGTAGTTACAAGAATTACAAATGTACTTCTTTTTTGATCTAGCCGATCAGATGTTGCTTTCTCCCCTAGAGTAATTTCATACTTGTCCACAAGAAGATGAGTTAGTGTAGTCACTATAGTGTTGTTTGTAATAAAGATGCAGAGCAATATATCAAGTGTGGTACACTTTGTGGTAGTGCTCAAAAAGAGACTTGGTCTTGCCCATAATTTTTAAATGTATGCATTATTTATGTAATGTGAGGGTTTTTTTAAGAGTAGAAAATATTTATTGAGAGAAAGATAGCTTCTAAGAGAGACAGAAGAGGTCTAGTGGGTGGCCCAGTAGTTTTGAATATTCAGAGAAAGAAAAGAATTAAGGAAATAAGAACTAGAGAATGGGAAGGTGTACAGTGCAGAATATGGGTACAGTTTGATAAGGAGAAAGAAATTCTTTTTACCATTTAAAAATAAGGATAAATATAGAAATTGTAATATATTGGAACAAAAATTGGCAAGCTGTCACAAGTCAAGGTAGGAGTGAAGGAACTTGTAGATGATGGTGGTCATAAAAATCAGTAGAGCACTTTGCTTAAATGTCTGAGATTTAGACAAAAAGAAATACATTCAAGTTCAGTGAGGAATGTATATGGATTTTTTTCTTAACTTATAAGACCATTTTTGAGTTAATCCCTTGAAGTGACATTATTTTTTGTTCCAATCTGTGGAAGCGAAGTAAGTTATACTTATTTCCATTAAATGTTGAAATTGACTTTGGCAACCTTGACAGCACTTTTTTGATGATTAGCTGCTATCTATAAATGATAATCTCCAAAGAAGGCAAGATGGCAAGGTTTAGATCAAACTTTACAAGTTGTAATCATACCCAACAAGCTAATGATTTTTTTTTCTTTTGTCCTCCATTCCACAGTTATTTCTCAAAAGACAGATCTAAAAATCTTGGTTTGTTACTGGTCTGTCTCAGGATTTTAAAATTACAAAAGGTAGACATGGTAGTGTTTTGGTTTGATGTAGTTCTGGTTTATGCTTTAAATGTTAACTCCTAAATCTTATATATACTTTTCTAAATTTTTATAGACCAACTAAAACATTATAACTGAGATTTTAATCCAGAAAAATGGAATTAAATTTTGTTTGCTTTAGTACAGTTTTAATCAGTTACTCTTTAACTTGGTGGTTTTAAAAGCCATTGAAGCTGGGCAGGGTGGTACAAGTCTGCAATTTCAGCACTTGGAGGCTGAGGCAGAAGAGTCACAGGGAACTGGAGGCCAGCCTAGACTACCTAGAGAGACAGACCCTATCAAAAACAAACAAACAAAAAAATCCACTGAAAAGGTAGGACAAGTCAGATAATTCTTAAAATATGAAAGACAAGCACATAACATTTCATCTCCCAATTTATTCTCTAAAACTTCCATTAAGATAAATCTTTTTTAAAGTTTGACCCCTGCTATATTCCTCATATCTTCAAAACTTTCAGTGGTTTCTTACAAAATTAAATCCAGTGTAGTTGCAAAATGCAAAATAGTAAAACACATATTTCCTGTTTCCATTGCACAAAAGATTTTTTATGGTGAATTTAGTTTAAAAACAATACTAAAACTATTACTTGTGTTCCATTATCTAAGCACAATAACATAGAGGCAGTTTTTAAGTGAGAATTAGTTAAAAATAAGTTCCTTTTTGCCTAGACTAGCAAATACATGGTTTTATCTCCTCTTACTGATAGTTCATGACCAGACCCAGTGAAAGGAAGTGCTGCCATGGTAACATAAACCAGACTGTTATTTGAGACCATACTCAGGATGCTTAACTGCCCCGAAACTGCAAGTTTTCAAAACCAGTTCTTGTAATTTGCTATTTCAAGGAAGTGGCAAGTCTACTGTGATCAAAACAATTTGTAGTCTTTTCACAATAGAATTTGAAAAGTAAACTTGAAGTCTAGAAGTGTAATCCTAGGAACACCAAGATAGAACATGGCTAGAATTATTGAAATAATTGTCTTGCTCAAGGTATGAAAAATAACCCATAATATATATCTTTTCTATATGAAACTGAATTGGTTTTGGAGCAAAGGATGTGGGTGTTAATGCTTTAAAATTTTATTTCCCTATCATCCAAACACATTTATCATCTGGGCAAGTGACTGTGCACGTGATTAAGTTTTATCGCTTAATCCACAAATACATTTATAAAACTTTTCTTGGAAACGATAGCAATGTCAAATACTTGTTGAGTGTAATTAATGTGATAGCTTACTACTGAATGCCAGTGTGCCAAGTACATCCATAGGTTTTCTCTTCCTATAGATTTAAGTTGCTAGGATGTTTAACAATGACTTACATTCAGTTGTTGCACCTATCCACAGCTGACGTTTCTTTCTAAATTTATTTTGTCCCTTGTTCTTTATTACCTTTTTTCTTTTATTTAGAATTCGTTTTTTTGATGGTTTTGTTAGACTTCTTCATTTCTTAGGAGTAAAAGAATGAGAAGGTCTTGTTTGTTACTCAACCAACATTCAATAACTTACTCAGTGCCAGTTACAAAATAACTCTTTTGGTATTCATTTATTTTGCAACTGTGTTACTTATACATAAATTACCTTATTGAATCTAATCAAAGTTCTGTGAAGTGGCCTGAATTGTTCTTTTTTTTATGGGTGAAATGTGAATGAAAGGTAAGGCTCTGCGAGAGTAACTGATTTTATCCAGTATCAGATAGGCAGTCAGTAAGCAGTGATCAAGATCTCAGTTTTTAAGCCTGTGGAACAATATTCTTTCATTATGTCATTCTTCTATAAAAATTATGACACAATACTCAGATAAAGAGTCTGGCTAATGGACTAATATTAATTTGAAAAAGTTTAGGAAGTGGAAGCACTGAGGAGATTACATTAAATCTTATATATATATATTTTATACAAGCAGAAATGAGCCAGGGAACAGGAAGCAAGTACATTTTTATTGGTTTTTTTTGTGGTGGTGAGGATCAGCACAGGGCCTCACACATGCTAGACAAACATTTTACCTCTGAGCCATATCCCCAACCCAATTTTATTGTTTCCTAAATAATTGTTAATGCAGTTGTAATTTGCAATTCAAGAATTTTTACAATACAGAAGCATAATGTAAAACTTGATGTTAATGAATTTGAACCTCTCTAGTCTTGTGAGCTAGTGGAAGTTTTGTACATCACATGGTGGCTATAAGCATGCTTAGCAAATGCATTATGATTTGTTATTGTGTGCAAAAGATACCACAGGGCTTTTCCTCAACATTTATTAAAATCATTCTCACTGTGTATGTATAAAAGCCCTCAGGTTGCTGTTCGTGGTGGCTTACACCTGTAATCCCAGCACTCTGGCGGCTGAGGCTGGGGCATTGCTGCAAGTTCCAGGCCATCCTGAATGAACTACAAAATGGAACCCTGTCCTAAAAAAAAAAAATTCCAGGCTATTAATTGTTGTACATTTTGTTTCAGGTTAATGGGAAAGGTTCCTTGTGGCGTGTTGATCCAGAATATAAACCCAATCTCATGCAGGCACTGAAGAAGCAACCTTTTTCCTCTCCACAAAGGTAAGGATTTGCCATATAACTGTCCATGATGATCTAGATTTTATTGTGTGACATGAAGAAACTTAAAGTTGTAAGCCTTTTTTTTTTTTTGATATCCGGGATCGAACTCCTGACCTTATGCTTGCAAGGCAGGAGCCTATACCACTGAGCTAAATCCCGGCCCCTAAAGTTGTATGTCTTTATAAATTTGTTTAATTGTATAGAAAAGTCTTTATGGATGACATTAGCCTAAGACATTTTTACTTAGGTTTAATTTGTGTTAAACACAGGGAAACAAGAGGACAGTTGAGAACATAAATTCTGAGCCAGGTGCTGAGGTTTATACCTATAATCCCAGCCACTCCAGAGGCTGAGGTAAAAGGATGACAAGTTTGAGGCCAGCCTGGGTAACTTAGTGAGGCATTGTCTCAAAATAAAATAAAAATGGCTGGAGATGTACCTAGGTACTAGAGCACTTGCCTAACATGAGCCCCTTCTGTGTACACACAGAAACACATGCACATGAGGGAAATTTAGTCATTACAATATTATAGAGAAAGTTATAATTTCAATTCCAAAAAAATTAAATTATTTTAATTATTTGCAGTACTAATGCTATGACTCTTAAGACATGGGAATTTTGTTTAGCAATAGGGTGTACTTATATTGCCCTGGGGTGGCCTACAACTCAAGAGCCTCCTGCCTCAGCCTCCTCAGTGCTGGGATTACAGCATGGACCACCACTATGGGTGTCCAGCTTATTTAAAAATTTTAAATGTGATGATTAACAGTTTAATATTTTTATATGCATACTGCATTTATATTTCTTTTTCTAAGTTTTTGTCTTTCATAGTATTTTAATGTTTAAAAAATATATTCATGTCTAAAATTTTAAGTGGCAAGTAAAATAATGCTTTGACGGTTTTTTTCCTTTTTTTTGGTAAATGTTATTACAGTGTATTTCCTTAAAATTTCTCTTGGCTTTTATTTTTAAACCCAGTGGCTCCTATTGATTTTTCTACCTTTCTCATTTAAAGTTAAATCTGAAAATTATGTGACCTCTTTGGGTCTGATTTTGTTTTCTTTTCCTAAGCAGTCTAAATCTTTAAAAATTCTTATTATATACATTCATTTGAGTTGAAAATGCCAAATTTTATTAAGGTAACTTTAAGGTGGTTTGTATTGCTTATTTTTTTGAAAAACATAGCCAGGCATGGTGGCGCATGCTTGTAATCCCAGCACTTAGGAAGCTGAAGCAGGAGCATCACTGTGAGTTCAGGGACACCCTGTGCTAGAGTAAGACCCTGTCTCAAAAAACAAAGAAAAGGGCCAGGGATTTAGCTCAGTGGTTTCGCCACCCGCTGCACAAGTGCAAGGACCAGAGTTTGATCCCTGGTACCCCCCAAAAAAAGAAAAGAAAGAAAAGAAAAATAATAAAAGGATTTTAATAAATGAAATATTTCAAGCATATTCATAGGAGAAAATACTAATTTACTTTCAACTACAACAATTATGAACATTTCATATAGTAGTTTGTTTGAATTCTCTCTTTGGCACTGTTCTAGGGATCACACCCAGAGCCTTTGTATGGAGCTACGTCCCCCGCCCACCCTCTTTTTGTTTTTTTATTTTGAGACCCAGAGTCTTGGCTAAATTGCTAAATTGCCTGGGCTGGGCTGTAATTTAGCCTTTTCTCCTGCCTCAGATTCCGTGAGTGCTGGAATTACAGGTGTGTACCACCACACCTGGCTCATTTGAATACTTGGTATTAGCTTTTTAAGGACAAGTTATAGCTGAAATCCAGAAACAAACAAACAAACAAACTAGGAAAGCTAAAGTTGAAATGTCATTGGTATATATGATCCATAACTAGTTGAGAATTTAAGTTGTTCTCCTGTTCCAAGTACTAACCAGACCCGACTCTGCTTAGTTTCCAAGATCAGGCACATTCAGGGTGGTATGGCCATAGACAATTTAAGTTGTTTGCCATGTTTGAAGATTAAATGGATCATTGAAAATGGAACTACTAGGTTAATTTCTCTTTATGAAGTAAAGCTCTAAGAAGTTACCTGAGTTTATATCCTCATTTGGGAATTCATCTGTTCTTTATTAGTGTTAGTGTTTATGAGGTGTTCTGCTAAATAATAATTTAGAAACTAATAGAAAGTTCTGTTTATGTTCACTTATTTGTTTTATTTAGGGTTTTTTTTCTTGCTGTTGTTTTTGTTTTTTGAGAGAGGGGCTTACTATATAGTTCTGCCTGACCTTGAACCTACCTCAGCCTCCTGAGTATACAGGTATTGCAAGTGTGTACCACCACACCCAGCTTTGTGCTTTTCTTTTTAATTAAAAATTCAAGGTGGGAAAATTTGCAGTATTTTTTGTAAATCATCATAAATTTTATTGTGTGTGTGATGTGTTGCATTTTAGGGTTTTTAGCCTTTAGATATTAAACAGAAGATTTTGTGTAAAGTACAGTAAATAATAGCAAAAAGGTTATCAGTATTGGCTTTAAAGCCTTAGTAATGAGACATTTTCTCCTTTTTGTTTTGCAAAGTAACAGTTCCATCTGATATGCTTTTGAGTATGTAACCCTCTAATAAAGTATGAGGAAGAGAATGAGATACAGTATATGTAAAAATTGTCGGTAGAAAATTAACTTTGTTAACAAAATTTTTTGTACTATCACAATTTCCAAGAATAGAAATAATTTTTCTCAAAAATTTTTATTTTCTGGAAACAAAACAAAACTGTTAGTGTCTTTCCATATAGAAAGTTTAATTTGATAACTGATATTTATTAATAAAACCAGAAACTTAACAGTTTGTTATTATTACCATACAGTCTTCCTTAAACACTTGTTTTGGTACATGTTTTCAATTTCTGTGATAATAGCTATATTAATATTATATAAAATTTAAATATCTAATATAAAACCAAATAAGAATTTAAATGTTATCTATTGTTCTATGCATTTTAAAATCACTATTCTTTTTTATTGTTCTTCTTGTTTTTTTGAGGCAAGGTTTTGCTATGTAGATCAGGCTGAACTTGAACTCACTATCTAGCCCAAGCTGGCTTCAGACTTGCAGATCTTCCTGCCTCAGCTTCCCAAGTGCTGGGATTACAGGCGTGCACCTCCACCCTGGCTTAATTGCATTATTCTTACTTACTTAACACAACAACCCTATTTGAGAGATTTAATTATTCCTGTTTTACAGATGAAGAAACTAAGAGATTAATTATTTTGTATTAAAATATCCAAATAATTATGATTTAATCTTGGTCCCTATGCACTTTCTGCTTTAGCAGACTCTCCCTAAACTGAGTATCATTAGCAAAGAAAACAAGATAAAAATAGTTTGTATTTTTAGTGGTACAGATTAGCTGTATTTGTGACTAAATCCTACAAAAAGTGAAATAAAGATGTTATAAGCATATTTGTCTTTTCTGTTCATTTTTCAGTGGTTCTTTATCACCTCACTATTTAAGCTCTGTTCTCAAGCAGAACCAGGTGCGAACTCTCAAAGGTATGTGTGAAGATTAATCTTTTAAGTCATAAAAACACAGCTTTAAATTTAGGATTTTGGGGTTTTTTCCCCATTATAAATTATACATTAATTGCAGAAGACTTGGGAAGTAAAACAGTTATAAAAAGAAAAGTTAAAGTCACCCTTATTCTATGTTAGCATTTTGGTATAATTTTATGCCATATATGTGAGTTGATATGTTTTTGCATGTATATATGCATATGCCCACGTGTATACACACACACACACACATACGTATTTTTTTCTCAATAGCCCAAGGCCTTGAGCATGCTAGGCAAATGCTCTACCATTGAAGTACATTTCCAGCCCTGTTCTATTTTTATTTTGAGACAGAGTCTTGCTAAGTTGTCCAGGCTTGACTTGAACTTGCCATCCATCTCCATTGGCCTCCTGAGTAGCTGGGATTATAGGCATGCGCCACCATGTTCAGCTTTCACTTTCAGTTTTTCCTTGAAAATAGGATTTAATTTCTCAGTGATTCTATCAGTAGAGTTATCTTTACCTGTGCTTGTATGGCCCATGATCTAAGGATGGCTTTATATTTATAAAATGGCTGGGGAAAAATATCAGAAGAGCAATAATATTTCAAGACATGAAAAAAAACTAAGACAGCTGAGTTAAGTAGTTGAAACAGAGACTTATATATTATATCATTGTTTTTGTCTCCTCCTGCAAAGCATACAATATTTATTTTCTGACCCTTTGCTGAAGAAATTTGCTATCTCTTAGGCTAGAATATAGTTCAGAATATTTCTTTTATAGGTTAACTGTGAAGAACCTTAATTTAGGAAGCTAATAAGTTGACTTTCAAAGAATTTTTTCATGCTTTTAAAAATCAAATCAAATTCCAAATTAGTGAATTTTTTTCTGCTTATAATTAATTTTATATATTAATAATATGTTAAAATGAGTTTTTGGTACATTGTTGGTTTGAAGTCTAGAGACATTTCCATGACCTACAAAAATGAGAATTCTCAGACTAAAAGCCTTTCTGTTTATCAGAGACATTTTTGCTCTTTGGACCTATACTAAGCTGAGGCTCAAAACCAGTGCTGATGTTTGTAAAAAGAGAGGCAAAGTGGGTGAAAAAGCATTTGGAGAACTCTGCAAAATGATTAAGTTGGTAGAGAATTGGATAATGTTTTGCCTTAACATAAGGCAAGTACAATACCGATTTTCCTGTTACTTTCATGGGTAAATGTGTTCTCTTGCATCTAGGTATTGCTGAAACTCCCATCTTTTTATTGCCTCAGTAACTTCTGATTCTTATACTCTCAAGTTCAGTTCATACACACATTATGAGAGCATACTCTTTGTAGATTCTCAGGTTTAATTTAGTTAAAATCTCATCTTGCTCTAATTCCATTCAAATCTGGCTTCTTCCTTTGGGGAGCAGACATTTCCACAAGTCTCTCCTGCTAGTTGCAGCCATAGTTTTTCATAACTAGAGCATAGGTACTACTTCTTCATCAGATAGCTTACACATATTATGCATTATCTCTCCAGGGCTAACACCTTATTTCCCTCTAGCCTTTTATACTCAAAAGAATTACCTAATCATAATTAACTAAATGGGGAAGGTGATTTGGGATTCTAGATTAAAACAACTACAGGTCTGTTCTGGAATAGAATGCAAAATTCTCTTGTTTTAAAGAGAAAAACATGAAACCTCAAGAAAACTTAACCAAATTTATATCAAATCTGATTATTTTAGGGCACATTCATAAATTTTGAGAGAATTAGCTTCTATGTTTTTTATTATTTCTAGAGAAAAGTTTGAAAAACGCCAAGTGGATTAAATGTTCACCACAAGTAATTATTGAGCTCCTGTATTTTTCCAGGCATTGTAGTAGATGCTTTGGGATATGCAGAGATAAGAGACTGAGGCCCTGCTGTCAGAAAACAGTTTAATTGAAGAAGAGTAAAAAATTAAAGTTAATGAGGGGCATAAAAGGCCTCTTAGAGAAAGAAGTGTGATAGTTGAGCTGGACCTCAAAAGTTGGGAGGATACTTAACTGCTAGGAGGACAGCTTGCCAAAGAGCAGGGAGAGGGCACAATGATAGCAGGAAACAAGGTTGGCTAGGGGCCTGTCTAGAAGGTTGATGAGTGCAACTGAAGCCTAAGCCAGTGTTAGTGAACCTTTTAAGAGGTCTCACTGATACAAACAGCCCGGTGTGGCACATATGCCGTAGGTCTGCCACCACTGGCCTAGGCGTACAGAAGGCCAGGTAGATGTGGTCATTTAGCATGGGCAAGGGGAAGGAAGCAGAGGTTTACAGTGTGCTTATTTAGCACAATGAGTTTAAACTTATTTCTCTAAAAATAACACAGGAAGCAATTAGTTGCTCACTGTGATAATACATCACCTCATTCAGTCCTTACAGCAGACCTTTGAGGAATTGCCCCCCCCCTCCTTTTTTTTTTTTACAAATAGGGAAACAACTTTGGAGAGATTAATTTAAGGTCACACAACTAGTAAATGGCCTAAATACTGTAACTGGGTGACATAATCAGTTTTGTATTTTATAAAGATTTCTTATTGCACTTCACTTCATAGAATCAACTTTTCTAATCGTTATATTAGAGATACAGTTAGACAAGTAGGATTAATAACAGATTAGGTTTAGGATATCCAGAAACCAGTATCAGCCAAAACTGATGCAGCAGTTTGTTTAAAGTATAGTTGTCTCTTGCTCAACTTGCTAATTTTATGTGCCAGTATCTGTGTTGCAGCATTGTATAATACATAGCTGGAGACATAGGACTTTGCATACTGAGAGCAAAAAAAACTTCTTGGTCAAGATTTTGGCTTGGTTTGTGTTTGGAATAAATTCATGTTTAAAAATATTACTCAGCTGTACTAAGATAGTGTTCCAGGCACCAGTCTCTATCAGTAAGCAAAACAGACAAAAATGGAATTCAAATTCCAGTTGGTAAGTTTTAGTATTTATACTAAAACACCTAGTAAAATAAATATAAAATTAAGGCAGTTGGTGTGTGATGTTAGGGGCTAAGTGTACATCTAAATTGAATTTTAAGGTTGCAGATTTGTAGAGTTTATATTTTAGTAAAATGAAAGTGAACCAATGAGCCAGACAGCTTAAAGTATTGGTAGTTTATTGAAATTGTCCGACTCTGAAGAATTACAAGAGCATTTCTCCATTTGCATGCCTTGTAAATGTGTATGCTAGTTTTGATAGAGGGACGATAAATCGTTTTTTGGTTATTACTGAGCTTATAACTGTTTAAATTCTAATTTTACAGTTTCCATATCATTTCCTTAAACATAGGGATTGAGAATCAGATGGCAGAAACATGTTTGTCTTATAACTTTTACGTTCACAAGCCTAAAACTGATATTTTGATTTTTTTTTCTCAATTACTCTTAATCATGTCCTAGGATCTTGGCTAAGGAAATGTAAGCCAGGAAATAGAAATTAACAGTTTTGATACATCTTTATTGTTATGGAATTAGGATATTTTGAACTACGAAATTTTTTGTTCCTGATGACCTAGGCATGTGAGATAGATAATATAGCAAATAGTATTGCTATTTAAGGAGTAGACACCTTTAAAATAGCACAAGTACTTTATCTGTGAAAAAATAACATTATGAAGGATTTTCAGTGTGACAATAAACAAATGAGTCTTCAATTTAAATTTAATACCCAAACTGATTGGGTTATACTATAAATAAAATGTTTGTAAATTCTACCCAGAGAATTTTTGTTGCTTTTGATCTAAGAAGTTCAAGATTCTGCCTTGGACAAATCATTGATAATCAAGTGTTCTTGAATACCACAATGTTTTGGGTCATTTCTTTGCTTATTTTTAATAATGAGGTTAAACTTTAAGAGTTAATTGGCAAACCATTGCAGAATACATGTTTTAAAAACAGTCTAAATAAAATCAAATATAGGTAAAATCTTTTGCAAAGAAATGTATCGTTTCACAAAGTTAATTTCTTTTCTTTTTGGACACAAGGTCTCACTATGTAGTTCAAGCTAGCCTTGACCTACTATGTAGCCCAGGCTGACTTTGAACTTGCAACCATCTACCTGCTTCAGCCTCCTGAGTGTTGAGATTATAGACATGCACGACTACAAAGTTAATCTCATGTAGTAGAATTCAAGTTAAACCAGCTATAACAACTTCTCTACCAGTAATATTTTCCTATCATTCTACTTTTTTAGAAGCAATACCTAGCCAGGCATGGTGCTGTATACCTCTAATCCTAGCATTCTGGGAGACTGAGGCAGAAGATCAGAAAGTTCGAGCCAGCCTGGGCAATTTAGCAATTTAGGGAGACCCTGTCTCCAAAAGAAAAAGAGTGTCAGGTATGGTGCATGCCTGTAATCCCAGCACTCAGGAGGCTGAGGCAGGAGGATTGCCACAAGTTTGAGGCCAGCCTGGGGTATATACTGCGTTCAAGGCTAGCCTGAACTACATGGCAAGACCTTGTATCAAAAAAATGAGAAGCCGGGGATCTAGCTCAGTGGCGCTGCGCCTGCCTGGTACCCCCCCCCCCAAAAAAAAAGAAAGGAAAAAAAAAAAGAGAACCGAGATGTTGCTCAGTGTGAAGGCCCTGAGTTCAATCCCCAGTACTGCAAAAATTAATTTTAAAAAAAGAAAGAGTGGGCCGGGGATTTAGCACAGTGGCTCGGCGCCTGCTTCACAAGCTCAAGGTCCTGAGTTTGATCCCCGGTACCTAAAAAAAAAAAAAGAAAGAGTACCTAATTTTATCATGTGAAAAATTCAGAAACTAACAAAAGCAATGATGTTAATATAGTTTTACCAAGACATTTTCAGGATAAGCCTATTAAACTGTTCAATATACACTTTATTTTTAATAAGAAAGTTTTATAAGTATTTCATTTATTAGGTAATAAATGTTTTGTAATTTGTTCTTCATTATAATATTGTTTCATGTTAGATTCTCTACCTTAGCACTACCTCCCTCATTTACAAAATTGCAAAGTATGTTGATCCTCTCATGAAAATAAAAATTATTGCTGGGCATGATGGTGCACACCTGTAATCCCAGCACTCTGGGAGGCTGAGGCAGGAGGATCCAAAGTTTGAGCCCAGCCTGAGCAATTTTGTAAGACTGTGTCCGCCAAAATAACAAAAGTCCCAGGGATGTAGCTCAGTGAGAAGGCCCTTGACTCAATTCCCAGTAATGCTAAATAAATAGATAAGTGAATTCATTCCTGGAATACAATCCTTCTGTCAGGGGTTTTACCTAATGCCATGGGCACCTGGCTGAGGCAGAGTGGACTCTGAAGTCCGGCCCACAGTCCACTCTTCTGGCTGCACAGGCCTTGAATAGGGAACCCTTTCCCTGCAGGACAAGTCACCCTTCTCCAGATCACACAGAGAGACAGTATGGTGATAGCAGATGCACTCCTATTTTTCATAGACAAACACTTTCAAACTGTCTCAGGTCTCATTCTAAAAGAGAAATTGGAGTCTTTGTTTTGCCTGGCCTTTCGATTATGACTTGTGGGACATCACTGATTCAGTCCTTTATACTTAATGTGCTTTCTGCTTGGAATGTTTTTCCCGCACCTCAACTCCCTGAGGTTTTGGCCCAGCTCTTCTCTTCCCCTTGAGGACTTCCCTGGCCTCTCTATTTAAAATTGCATTCAGAAATGTGTTATATACCAACTCCCCACAATGAATATAATCATTATGAACTGCAAACATACTAATAAAAATTTTAAAATAAATTTTAAAAATTTGCAGCCACCTCCCTAGCATTTTTCTCTCCTCCCTCCCTCCCTCCTTTGTCTCTCCCTTTCCCTCCCCCTCTTCTCTCTTTCTCTCCCTCCCTTCATTTCCTTCCCAGTGCTCATCACTGTTATATTATGTTTTAATTCTTTGGGTTCTAAGAGGTTAGGGATTTTCCTATTTTGTTTTCTGCCATATATTCACAATGTAGAATGATGTTAAGCTCTCAGTAGGATATTCAGTTTATTGAATGAATGACAGAATAGAGCATTCCCAATATATTCTATTATTTCCCCAAAAAATTTCTTAGAGCCTACTATTGTTGTAGGCATTATGGTAACATAGAAAATAAGACAAAATTTCTACCCCAAAGAAGCTGACAGTGTAATTAAGATGACAACAGTGTAGACACTCTTGTTTCATAGGGTCACAGTTTATTCAAGGGAAAAGAATTGTATGGTATTGTGTGCTGTCTCATTGCAGACAATATGAGAGATGTATCAGAGCCTGATAATTAAAGTCAATAACAGTAACATTTCCAACCTTAAAAGAGTTTATGGGCAAGTCAGGGAGCAAGCAAGTCAGTATCTTCATGGCTTTCTTTTTAAATCCATAATAGTGTTATAAGTAGATACTACAAGTAAATTAGAAAACTGTAGTGCAAAAATTTCCAACTTTAAGATATAGATAGGGCCAGGGATTTAGCTCAGTGGTTTCACTGCCTGCTGTGCAAGCACAAAGACCTGAGTTCAATCCCCAGTATCAAAAATAAAAAAATTAAGATATAGATAGAAGTCGTCATATCTGGATATTCTTTAAATTTCATTCTTTATGTAAAAGCTAATGTTTTATACACATTTTCGAATTTTCTCCTCCCTCCCCCTCCTTCTCACCCCCCCCCCGTTTTTTTTTAACTTAGTATGTAGCCCAGGCTGTCCTCAAACTCAATTTTTTTATTTTTTTCTTCAATTAATTATTCAGACTTATACATCACCAACATGGAGAAAAACTTATATAAGTAGGTATGAGAAGATATAACTATCTGCTGATTTTACCAGCATTTTAAAGCCCTTTTTTCTCATGAAATAGCAATATTTATGTCTGACCTTGTGAATACTATTTAAATCTCTAGGGCTTATAAGCTTGTGAATAATTACAATGGAAACATTACATATTAGTAATATTTTTGTTGCCACAATAATTACTCATTTAGTTGCCAGGCATAGTGGCACATACCTGTAATCCCATCACTTGGGAGGCTGAAGCAGGAAGATCACCACAAGTTCAAGGTCAGCCTGGACTGCATAGTGACACCTTGTTTTAGGACAAAACAAAAATAATTCATTTAGCATTTATAGATTGAGATGACCTGGACTGACCAGTTATGTGTACTTTTTAATTTTTATTTGTATTAGTACATGTTTGCAGTACATGTACTAATATTAAAATGACTATATTCATCATGGGGAGTTTCATGTACATAACACATCTTAATAGTTTTTATGTCTCCTCTCCTCCCATCTTTTCCCCTCCCTCCATCTCTTGGTCCCCTTCACATTTGCAAAAGATCAACCTCCCTGTTTCCTATTATCTATCTTTTATTTTACTCTTTAATTTATTTATACTTTGGGTTTCTCCTATAAGAGAAAGTGTGCAACATTTTAAGTTCATGTGTCTGATTTATTTCACTTAACATTATACCTGAGGGTGCATCCATTTTCCCATAAATGACTCAAATAAATCCTTCATAGCAGAGTAATACACCTTTGTGTATAAATACCACATTTTCTTTCTCCATTCATCTGTTGATGGACATATAGTTCCCTTCCAAGATTTGGCTGTTATGAGTTGTGCTGCTGTAAACATGGGTATGCAGATGCTACTGAAATATAATGTCTTCAACTCTTTTGGAAAGATACCTAGAGTAGGGAGTAGCTAAGTCAAATGGAATTTCTATTTTTAGTTTTTGGGGGGAATCTCCATAGTGATTTCCATAGTGGTTGTACTAGTTTACACTCCCACCAACAATGTTAAAGGGTTCCTTTTACCATACAGCCTCACCAGCATTTCTTACTTGATTTCTTGATCATGGCCATTCTTTCCAGAGTAAGATGGAATCTCATTTTGCATCTCTTTAATGGCCAGAGATGTTAAACCTTTTTTCATGTATCTATTGGCCATTTGCACTCCTTTGGAGAAGTACCTGTTCATTTCAGTTGCCCTATTCTGAGTGAGTCTTTTATTTGGGGCGGAGAGTCTAATTTTTTTCTTTATATATTCTAGATATTAGTCCTCTGTCTGAAATATACCTGGCAAAAGTATTTTCCCATTCTGTAGGTTGTCTGTTACTCTTTTGGTTGTTTGTTTTGCTATGCAGAAGCTTTTTAATTTGCAATGATCCCATCCTTTGATTCTTGGTGTTATTTCCTGTGTATTTGGGGGTTCAGAAAGTCTTTGCTTGTGCCTATATCTTCAAGAGTTTTACCTATTTATCTTCCAGCATATTGTTTTAATATTTACATCTTTGATCCATTTTGATCTAGTTTAGTATGTGGTGAGAGTTAGGGGTATAGATTGAATCTTCTGCATGTGTATAGTTAGTTTTCCCACTACCATTTCTTGAAGAGTCTGTCTTTCCTCCAGCATGTTTTTGGCCCCATTGTCAAAGATCAGATGGCTGAATGTGCCTGGGGTTAGTTACATGTATTTTTATCTTCTCCAACTAGCATGAGCTTAATGTCACATTTAACTGCAGATATGCATACGATATTATTCAAGGGAAAAATGTTCAAAAGTAGTAATGCTCTACACTTTCAGCTAATTTAGTTTTAAGGATGAACCTTTTGAAATGCAGTTCAAATGTTTATTTTCATTCTGAATAAAGAGAACTTGTATTTTCTCTAGTACCTCTCCATTCTTTTACACAATACTGTTCACAAAACTGTCCCATAGTTTAAGTGAACAGAAGCACATTGCACAATAATATATATGATGTTTAATTTATGTCTGTGCCTTTTAAGTAGGAAAATGTACAGCAAAATCTTGGTGCTGATTATCATTGAGTGCATGCAAATACTTTCATCAGCCTCTCTTAAAGGACATTAATATTGCCACTCTTTTCCCTTTTCAGAATCTGATATTGATGCTGCCACTGCAATGATACTTTTAAATACTTCTATAGAACAAGGGATTTTAGAATGTAAGCAATCATGCTTTTTTTTTTCAAAATAAATCTTCATGAGTACCTTTTCAAATTTCATTTAGAATACAAAATGTTTTAAGTGTCATGGCAAATTACTTTCCAGTTAAATTATTTTAAGCTGAATAACTTAGTGTCAGTTTTATAGTTCCATTTATTTATATGAACAGTTGAAAGATTGAAGTTAATGCTGAGAAATTTTTTTACATTGACCAAGAAATGGAGAATATAGCATATTTAGAAAATGACCTTAAAAGAGCTAAAGATAAAAATGAAAGGTATCAATAAGAAAAGATAGGGCCGGGGATTTAGCTCAGTGGTTTCGCCACCTGCTGCGCAAGTGCAAGGACCGGAGTTCGATCCCCGGTACCAAAAAAAAAGAAAGAAAAGATAGGAAAGCATATTTATAACTTGGAACAGGAAAAGCTTCTTTAAGAAACAAAACACAAAAATCTGTACAGGAAAGTGATGGGTAAATTTACGGTTCTGACAAAGAAAAATACCTTCAGGAAAAGTAACCAAAGGAGGCTGTGGGGAAGCTCAGTGGTAGAGCACTTGCTTGCCGTGTGCATGTGTGCAAGGCCCTGGTTGCTCTCTAGCACCACTAAAATAAAGGAAGAAAGGTAACGTAAACAAAATACTGCAGAATTTTTTAAACCATATATTACAGACAAAAGATTAACATTGAGTCTCTGAAGGATCCTACAAGTAAGAAATTAAAAAGAAAGCAGTTCAACAGAAAAGTCAGCAAGATACAGAAATAAGTGGGTCTCAGAAGACAAAATAAATATGGATAGTACACATGCAAAAAGGTGAACTACTGTAGAAATGGAAGAAATGGAAAATACAGGATTGAAATGCCTTTGTTTTTGTCTCAGAGATGATAAAGAAAATAATGGCTAAGCTGTGCATGGTGGCAAATGCCTGTTATCCTAGCACTCTGGGAGACTGAGGCAGGAGAATTGCAAGTTATATCCCATCCTGGGCAATCTGATAACCTAGCAGGACCCTGTCTCAAAATTTTAAAAATAATAACAAATAATAAAATAAAAAGGTCTGAGTCCATACCTCAGTCTAAAGGCCCTGGGTTCAACCTCCAGTGTCTTAAAAAAAAAAAAAGATTGAGAGTATGGGAATAGGTTTTGTCATATACTGTTGCATATTTGAGAATACCAATAATAATTTAAAATGCATATAACCTTTTACTTAGCAATTGTATTTCTTGGTATTCCTCCTAGAAAAGTATTTGCATGTGTGTGAGGAAAGTCATCCAGAGAATTTTCATTTCAGCATTATGTATAGTAGTAAAAAATTGCAAACAACCTAAATACCAACAAATGGTTAGCTAATCCAACTGCTATATTCATATTGAGGCATTCTGTGCAAATAGTTTAAAATAATTATATGCTCTATGGAAAGGGCAAAGCATATTATTAAATGCTTTTAAAATGTTTCAGAGTAATGAAATGAAAAAGCTTATAAAACATTAATAATCTAAAGCACCTCATGTTCAGGAGTGATAACAGTAGTTTTCAGTGGTCTGTTTTTGCAATCAAATGGATTTGACCTATTGATGGAAGTGCTGTTTTCCACAGGTGAGAAGCCTCTTCCTCTTAAAACATCATTGCAAAAAAAGAGGAATTATGGCCATGCATTTAGTCATCCCAGTGCTGTACGATTACAAGAGAGTGATTCGTTAGCCACCAGCATTGATCCAAAAGAAGATCACAACTACAGTGCCAGTAGCATGGCAGTACAGCGGTGTGCATCCAGGTCAAGCGTGTCTTCCCTGTCCTCTGTAGATGAGGTGTACGAATTCCTCCCAAAGAGTAGCCATGCGGGCAGTGACGGCAGTGAAGGATTTCATAGTGAAGAAGACACAGACGGTGATTACGAAGATGACCCTCTTGGAGACAGTGGCTATGCGGCACAGGCTTGTGTAGATACCTCTCAAAAAGGGCAGCCAGGCAAAAAGATGCGAAAACAGTCGTGTCAGGAAATTGATGAGGAGCTCAAAGAGGCAGCCGGATCTCTGCTCCACCTTGCTGGAATTCGTACGTGCCTAGGTTCCCTAATAAGTACTGCAAAAACACAAAAGCAGCGGAAAAAATGAAATACTGGTTAGTGTGAAATTATTTTAAAGTGTGGCAATACTCTTCTACTAAAAGGGATATCAAAGCCATAATGGACTTCTTTAGTTTTAAGGTGGGGGAAGGGTGCCAATTACTTGTTTCCTTCAAAACATTTTTGGTTACTTTTTAAAAAAATTTTTTTATTAAATAATTGCTGTTAGGATCATGTTCAATGATAAATATGTGATATAAAAACCTAAAAGCATAACTTTGGTGATGTGTCTCCAAGATTTGGAAGTTTTTATGTAAGGGAATGCCCAGTCTCTCTCTTAAAACTTACAGGAAAAAAATCTTTTTCTGTTAATACATCAAAATGTAAGACTTGGTAACTCTATACTTTTTTTGTTTTCCTTTCCACTGTAACTAACTGTAACTGTAGTTACTGATCCAGCTAAAATTTTCCCTGATATCTTTCTCATATACTCCTGTCCTGACACACAATCTATTATGATAAGATTTAGATTTTTTTGTCTTATTTTTTATTTTAAATTACTTTTTGTTGCAGCACGAGCAAAGTCAAATATAAATTGAAAAAGATCTTAGATGTCTAGGAAGTCCCTTTTGGTTAACATAAGTAGAGAATACAACAAAGAGTTCTAATTGCTTTAGAAAAAGCAATTTTGGGATGTGATTTCATCTAAATACTCTTAATTCCTATTATGATACAGTAGTATCTTTGAAATATTTTTATTGAACAGATATTGCATAGCATTCATTGGAGCCCTTTTATTCTTTCCCAAAATGCTTTGCAACCATTGTTAAGTTTTAGCCACTATCTGTCTTTGTTGAATAGAATTTATCCAATGAAAAGATATAGCCGTAGAGTTTGTTATGGAGTAATATCCATTTTGACATACTTTTGCAATAAAAGAACCTTTTACTTGCTTTCTAAATACACTGCATTCTGAGAGTCATATAATAGGAATGGAGTGTAGTAAAACATTTTGAGTAATTCCTACTTATGTTGTCATAAGGTAAGGTAGGTCATTTAGGAAAAAACTTCTTTCCAAATTTTGCATGAGTTACAATTGCTGAATTAACTTTTAAAAGACATAATGAAGCTGTAGAGATAAATACCTTCAGGGATTTAAAACTCATGAAATTAGATCTTATACAGTACTCTTTGAGAAGACAGTACAATACTCACATGTGCCATTAATCCATGCTAAAAGATTTTATATTACTATTCCAAAAGTGCATTGACTAAGGTATTTTAAATATTTAAACAAAATCTGCTTATATAAGACAGTTTTTCGTATCATTTACTTAGTTTGACTGTATTATTCAGAAAGAACAAGAGATACTAATACTATAATTCATTATATATATATATGTATTTTTTACAATGGTGGTAGCAGCTTTCTAAAAGTTTGGTCTTGTCTGACGGTATATCCTATGTCATAGACAATGAACTTATTTTCATTTTTCTCATAATTTATATACATATATATACATACAGTGTCAGGCTCAATGTTAATTTCCTGCCTTCAGCTGTTTTTATGACAATAAAACATTTTTGTGGATTTTTAAAGAGACGGCTTATTTTAACTTTGAGCAAAACTGTCAAATGAGAAGAATAATAACAAAAGCGTCTTTTTCCATGGGTAAGACTTTAAGCCAGGGATAACAGCATTAAAGTTCTCTGTTCTGTTTATGTTAATACATATTTTTTTTGGTACCGGGGATCAAACTTGGGACTTTGCACTTGTGAGGCAGGCGCTGGAACCACTGAGCTAAATCCCTGGCTAATTTTAATTGAATCTGGATGGCCACATTAATAGAATTGGTGCTGTTGAAATCTAGTAACTTTTTCCTTTGTCGATAATATAGGATGAGACATTAAAATTTTTTCCTCATGTCATATCAACAGAAAATGACTAAACTAATTCAATCTCTTTTACTATAGAGAATGAATAAAAGATGAAAAAATTCATTTACCACACTGTGAATAGTACAGAAATTACAAATATCAGTTTAATAACAAAATATTTTTAAGTTCTTTACTGTGACCTCTGGATAGAGCAGTGTAACACTCTTCAATGATTTGGTCCCACTCTGCCTTGTTCTCCTAGCATTCTGCACCACAGCGGTACTCCTGAGTCCTGTCTGTCGGACACTCCTTACAAGGAAAGAAAAATGACCTACGATAAGGAGGGGGAGAGTTATTCTCAGCTCAAATAGGGATCTTAAAAGTTTTTTGTTTCAATATATGTAACAACTTTAAGTTCTTTGATTTTTCTCTCCCTCTTCATGTACTCTTCCCACAAATTCAGATGTTGAAGCTACATTCATCACTTGTGAGGAAGATAAACTCTTGTATACTAAAAGCTAACTGGGAGAAGTTGCACAATATTTTACACTTGAGTTTTGTACAGAACTCAGTGCATCACTTTTCATTTACTAATAGACTATGGCAGTTATTTTCGAAAGAAAGAACCAAAATTTTTAATTATAGTCCCCTCATGACTTCCATTGAGACAATGATCTAAGTCTTCAGCTATGTTGATACAAATGTGGCTCATCACCCTCCACATAAAGGAAGTCATTCTGAGTCCTATGGACTAGAAATCATAATGCCCAGTCATTAAATTTTGCTGCAATGAAAACGTAGGTTAGAGAGGTTACATACTTTTCAACTAAATATTTTAAAATTGTGACTTAAGCTAATATGTAACTTGCCTTATATCAGTATAATACAAATTTTGTTGCAACAAATTCCAGTTTGTAATAGATTTCTAGTAAAAGTTTTGTCTCTTGGCACAATTAATCTTAACTTTTCACCTCCCAAATAGAATCAGTGTTTCTTGAATATGTATTTTTGCATTTTATTTGTGCAATATATTACTAAGTTAATATTTACTTTTCAAATTCAGAGAAAGAAAACATTATCTGTATTCATGGAAAAGCTAAGTATTGGTGGATCACCTCCCTTTTTCCACCTTTAAGCTTTTCTTGTCCTCCTAGCCAATGTGACTTCTCTTAACTTAGAGTCCCTGTATATTGTAAAGTTTAGTATATAATTTTTTTTGCTACTTTCTGAGGCATTATATAAAAGGTTCATGCTAGATAGTTAAATATACATTAGCATAAATTCAAAGCTAGAGAAAGTGTTAAGGAGGGAATGTATGTGTTTTGGTAGACCAGGAGGCCCTTCCCAGCAGTTTAAACAACAGATTAGCAATAGTTATGAATATTTCATAAAGTTATAAAAACTGTCTTAACTACTATAGTAATTTAACACCCTTTTGAGGGAACTATAGTATTTAAGAAACTTTGAGACTTTCTGGTTTACATATACTTTATAGATTTTCTTAGTTTGAAATGTGTAAACTTTGATTTAAATGAGGTTTACTTCAGTGTTAATGATGTAGTCAAGTTATTTATTGAAAGGCAAAATAATAGAGTATTCTAATGTTATACCTGCCATTTTTTTCTTTACATCTAACTGCCAGTGCCACTGTCAAAACTTGTTTTTAAAATTGTTGTACATTTTTATTAAACTGCTTAATTTTCACATATTGTGTTGCCATCATACAGTGTATAAAAATGTATAATTGCCAATCCATTGTAATTATTATTTATTTTTTAAATGAAAGTATAAGAATGCTTTCCAATTCGAGACATTTATTGAACTGTTCTTCTTTTCTGGTGTAGTGTAAAAATTGTCCTGGGTTTGAGTTGTAACTGCCAGTAGATGAACAGTCACAAGTGAACCACTTCTCAGTTGCCAGTCTTTGCTCCTATTAAAAACAACTTAACGAATGTTTAGTTTTTGTATCTAATCTCTGATTATTAAAATGTTTATAAAGTTTATTTTTACCAAAGAGATGCGATCCATTATGATAAAGCATTGCAGAATAAACTTTGTTTTATAACACTTTTGTGGTTTCTCTGTTCTGTGGGGAGAGGTATAATGGGGTAGTGTCGATGTTAGGTAACTCCTACTTCTACACACACACTTTACATTGTTCTGTTACAAAGTTGGAATCATACACATTAAAGGTTTAATTTCAGAATTTTAAAGAATCTGGTTTTACTATTTTTATGATTTTTAGATATCTTAATCATTGAAAGCCAAAATACTGTTAATTAAATGAGTCTCTTCCTAAAGTTGAACTTTTTCCTATTTATTTATTTATTTATATTATTATTATTATTTTTTTTTATTTGATAGAGAAAGTGTTTGTTTTTGTTTTTGTTTTTGTTTTTTGGTACCGGAGATCGAACTCGGGTCCTTGCGCTTGCAAGGCAGGCGGCGGAACCACTAAGCTAAATCCCCAGCCTTTTCCTATTTATTACATATATGAGACATTTTGAAATAAAAATAGAGAATATGAAATTATTTCTAAGTACAGTAATGTTACTTCAAAAATACTAATAATACCATCTGAAAATTGGAACGTCCAATATAAAATGGAATAATGTATAGAAGCAACATTTTACACTTTTTTTTTCTGGTACCGGTGATTGAATACAGGACCTTGTGCTTGCAAGGCAGGCACAGTGCCACTGAGGTAAATCCCTAGCCCCTAGAAGCAACACTTTGAGCTTCAATTTCCAACCCCTTTAAACTTTTGTAATAGTAATTTAGTATTTTCTAGATGGTGTTATTTGAAATGAGTTAAGACAGCCATATTGATTTTAAACTACCCCCCCTTTTCTGCCATCTCTGAAATACAGAGTCATTTACAAATTATAACCATTTGGGGGTCATGTGTTTCTGAAAATTTTATTCTCATTGCATTCATCACTATCTACCTCTTACTATTCTGAAAGGGAAAGAAATTATACTTTTTTAGAAAAATAGCTGGAAATAAAGCTTGGTAATAAAGCACTTGCCTAGCGTGATATAAATAAATGTTTGAATAGTCAGTGGGGGAGAAGAAAAAAAATCTAAGCAGAAGAATTACAAATAAATTATGCATATACTTTACCCTGAAGGAATGGTGGCACGGCAGGATTTTCTTAAACTGTGGGCTATGCTTGATGACTAAGGCTTCCAAAGACCAGTATCCAAAGGAAGCACCTTTACAATGGAAAAACTTGATAACTAGACCTTTAGCCAGGCAGCTTAAGTCAGTGCCAGCAGTTGTCACTCATGCTGATAGCGGGTACTATTGATAGGATATGAAAAATGGACCTTTGTGATATTCCCGGAGCACATGATCTAATTGAGGTAGAGGTGTGAGGTAGGAAGATACATTCAGTAGTTCAGCATCCTACAGTATTCCTGACTAGTAATCCTCAAAACTTTCAAGGCACAAAAACAGCCTGAGAAGCTGGGACATAGTGGTACATGCCTGTAATCCCAGCAGTTGGAAGGCTGAGGCAGGAGGATCTTGAATTCATGGCCAGCCTGGAAATAGCAAGACTATCTCAAAACAAGTTCAAGAAACTTTCTCTTCCATGAAGGGGAGCCTAAAGAGACGTAATAACTACACATGTATATCTTGGATGGAATCTTGGAACAAAAAAAAAAAGTTACTGTATTTAAAAATAAGAATATATCAATACATTAATTGTAACCTGCACCATACTATTATACTTGTTAAGAGATTAAGAGAAACTAGGGGAGAGGATTTATAAGTATACAATTTTTCAGTAACTATAATAAAAAGCTGCTGGAACTAAATTTAGCAATTGTACCAAATACATCAATATTTTTCAAATTAATTGTATACATGTTAGCAACAAACTGAAAAACCTAAATATTAGAAAATACCATTTACAGTAGTTTACAGAAAATGAAATAAAAGGGACATATTTAACAAAATATATGCAAAACAAAGAAAACTTAAGCATTCGTGAGAGAACTTCAGATCTAAATAAATGGACAGGTACATGGATTCAGACTTAAATATTGCTAAGATAGCAATTCTCTCCAAACCATGCATTCAATTCAATCCCAGTCAAAATTTTGGCAGGCAAAAAGAAATTAGGAAAACAGTATTATTCACAGTACCGTCAAAAGAGTACTTAGGGTTTTTTATTCATTAAGCTTATTGGTACATTTTAGGTATACATTATGATCACATTCAACATTGGGAATTTGTACCTGTACATGATATATCTTGGCTCTTGTTTTTTCCCATTCCCCTTCCCTCCCTTCCACCTCTCCACCCCTCCCTATTTCCAAATGCTTTGTTTCTGTTTTTTCCTTCTTTTCTCATATATTTTCTTTCCCTTCTTCCCTCCACCTCCACTTCCTTTTCCCCTTTGAACCTTTTTTTTTTCCTATTTCATATTATCTAGTATACATTTTGATCCTCATTTACACTTTCAGTTTCTCACACCAGAGAAACAATTTGGTATTTACAAATGTCTGTCTTATTTATTTTACTTAAGCGTATAGCTCAATGTGCATCCATTTAGCTATAAATGTATCTAGTTTATCTTTTTTTTTTGTACCAGGGATCGAACTTGGAACCTTGTGCTTTCAAGGCAGGCAGCGGAACCACTGAGCTAAATCCCCGGCCTAGTTTATCATTCTTTTTTTTTTTTTTTAAACCCACATCTTTATCCAGTCACCAGTTGATGGGCATTTGGGCTGTTTCCAGGTTTTAGCTATTACAAACTGTACCACTGTAAACATGAGTTCACATGTATCGCTGTGGTACGATGTTTTTAATTTGGGGAAGATACCCAGCAGAGGAATAACTGGATCAAATGAGATCTCTAATCCTAATTTTTTGAGGAATCTCCATATTTATTTCCACAGTGGTTGCACCAGTCTACACTCCCACCAGCAGTGGAGCAGGGTTCCTTTTTCCCCACAGCCCCACAAGCATTTGTTATTGGTTGATTTCTTGATAGCAGACATTCTGGAGTGAGGTAGAATCTCAGCTTTATTTTCATTTGCATCTCTTGAATGACCAGTGATGTTGAAGATTTTTTCATATGTTTATTTGCTATTTTTATTTGTGTCTGAGAAATGTCTGTTCATTTCAGATGCCCATTTTTGAATTGGGTCTTTAAATTTGTGGGATCTGATTTTTTAAAGTTTTTTATGTATTCTAGATAGTAGACCTTTGTCTGAGGAACAGCTGGTAAAATTTTTTCCCACATTGTGGGTTGTCTCATCACATGGTTGGTGGTTTCTCTTGCTGAGCAGAAGCTTTTTAAGAAGATGAGATCCCAGTTGTTGATTCTTTGTGCTAGTTCTTGGTGACTGAGGCTTTGTTCATAGTCTTTTCCTACACTAATGTCATCAAGTGTTCTACCTAACCTCTTTTCTAGCAGGTTTAGTGTTTCTGTTTTAATATTTAGATCTTTGATCTATATTGATTTTAGTTTAGTGCCTGGTGAGAGATATGGGTCTAGTTTTTGTTTGTTTGTTTGTTTTGGGTTTTTTTGGTACCGTGGATCGAACTTGGGTCCTTGTGTTTGCGCAGCAGGCAACGAAACCACTGAGCTGAATCCCCAGCCCTATAGTTTTAATCTTTGGTGAGTTAAAACCCAATTTTTCCAGCACCATTTATTAAAGAGGCTATCTTTCCTCCAGTGAGGGTGTCCGGCTCCTTTGTTGAAGATGAGGTTGCTGAGTATGTCTGGAGTTGTTTCTCCATCATCTAATCTGTTCCATTAATCCTTGGGTCTGTTCCTTTGCCAGTGCCATGCTGTTTTTATCACAGTAGCTTTCTGCTATAGTTTCAAGTTGGGGATTGTGATACCACCTACCTTTGTTGCCTAGAATTGCTTTTGCTATTCTAGATCTCTTCTGGTTCCAAGTAAAGTTTTGTATTGTTTTCTCTAGTTCTGTGAAATATGCTGTTGGAATTTCAATGTGGATTGCATTGAGTCTATATTAGCAGTTTTGGAAGTATGGCCATTTTCACTATATTGGTTCTTCCTATACAGGAAGAAGGGATGCCTTTCCATTTTCTTATATCCTCTTTGATCTCTTTTTTCAGAGTGCTGTAGTTTTCAGAGTAGAGGTCTTTTACTTCCTTTGTTAGATTGATGCCTAGGTATTTCATTTTTGAGAGGATGGTATTATAAAAGGAGTTGTTTCACCAGTTCCTCTCTGAATGAGTGTTATTCATGTAGAGAAAGGCTATTGATTTTTTAGTGTTGACTTTGTATCCAGCTACTCTACTGAATTTGGCTATTAAGTCTTAGGTGGAGTTCTTGGTGTCTTCTATATAGAGTATCATGTCATCTGCAAATAATGACAATTGAACTTCTTCATTTCCTATCTTTATTACTTTTATTTCTTTCTCTTGTCTAATTGCTGTGGCTAACGTTTCCAAGAGTATATTGAACAGGAGTGGTGATAGTGAACAGCCTTGTTTTGTTCTTGATTTTAGCGTGAAGGATTTCAGCTTTTGACCATTCAGTATGATGTTGGCTGTTGGTTTTTCATAGATGGCTTTTATCAGGTTGAGACAAAGACCATCTATTCCAACTTTCTGTAGGGTTTTTATCATGAATGAGTGTTGGATTTTGTCGAACACTTTCTGCATCTATTGAGATGATCATATGGTTTTTGTCCTTGACTCTATTAATATACCGTATTACATTTATTGATTTGTGTATGTTAAACCATCCCTGCATTCCTGGGATGAATCCCACTAGGTCAAGGTGTATGATCTTCTGGATGATGTTCTACATTCTGTTTGCCAGGATCTTACGGAGGATTTTTGCATCTGTGTTCATTAGTGAGATTGGCCTATAGTTCTCTTTTTCGGTTGGGTCTTTCTCTTCTTGTGGGATCAAGGTGATGCTTACTTCCAGGAATGAATTTGGGAGTATTGCTTCCCTTTCAATTTCATTGAAGAGTTTAAACAGTAGTGGCAATAGTTCTTCTCTAAATGTCTTGTAGAATTCAGCAGTGAAGCCTAGGCTTTTCTTTGTTGACAAGCTTTTAAATACATTGTC